TTACTAAGACGTCCTAACATTGCTTTAGTGATCGTACGTCCCTTTCGAATTGACCCTTAAAACTCCAACGATGGTGCTACCTACTCACTAATAGTAGGATAGCGTTGTCTAAAGGAAACGAACATAGAATAATTCCCTTTTCGAGTAGGTAGATGTTAATAGGTACTTGCTCAATCCAAACAAATTTTTTTTCACACTTACACTCTTTTCAAACAAAGTTTTTAAAAACAACTTCGTAACACTCTTGAAGACAGAAGCAAGGGTTAAATTGAAGTCAAACAAATTTTTTTTCAAATCAAGTACACACAAACAATTTTAAAATGATGAGCAAGTACCTAAGAGCCCGTAGAAAACTACGGATAGAAAGGGTGCTAATACCTTCCCTTTCTATAATCTACCCCCCGTACTCAGAATATCTCGAAAAAGAAATTTTTCTGTACTTTTTTCCTTTCCAATTGGATAAAATAAAAGTCGGTGGCGACTCTTGCTTACCACGACATTTTGCAAACACAAACGCAAAACGCAAACCAATATTTCAAACAGTTCCGGTTCTGTCACGGTATCACACTAATTTATCAGGCTTTTGAAAAAAGATTAAAATTGATTGATGGTTAATAATTAGGGTTAAAGAAAAGAATTAGGGTTAGTAATTAAAAAGAAGAGAAAATAAGTTAGTAAAAATAAGAAGAAAAATTTGCATGGGGTAGGTGTTGAACCCACACCCTCCAGCCTTCTCAATGTACAGCTTACCGCCCAGCCAACGCGCTGGTTGTGTTATAAGGATAAGTGCTGCACATAATATGTGAAACCTATTATAAATTGGAAAGTAACAAAAATATTTGCAGCACGCGGGGATCGATCCCACACCCTTTACATCATATGCCTTCATCTTGACCAGTGGTGCTACGCACTCATCCATTCATATAACTTAAACAATTAAACATAAAATAAACAAAAAAAGATTGACCGGAGAGGCGTCGGAGCCCTAGCTTCGATCGTCTTCTCCGGTGAGACCTTTTTTGTACCTGCGAAAATAGAGCATGTTAGTGATCAAATAGAATCCTACCCCCCTAAATTGACCCTTACGAATCCATTGGTGGCCTTAGTTTTGGCTAAATTATCCCGCATAATGAGATACAAGAAAAATAAAGCAAATCAGTGTAACAATGGCAATAGGGTGTTCTGGCGTCATGGGTTTCATGAAGGGGTTCAATCATGTATAGTTTTGTCTCAGAATTACATTACACATATTAGTTTCAATCAAAGCATAATAAAAACTAAAATAAGAAATTCAAGAAAATATGTAAACCGATGATGCACGTAGTACTCATTTCAGGTTTCTTTGATCATCAAGAATGATCAATACTTACTCTATAGCATCTCAAGAGTCGATTTGGATGGCTGGTTTGCATTGAAAGTGGTTGTATGAGAGGTTTCAAGTTTGCCCTTGACTGGGCAAACTTGTGATGCAAAACTTGAAATTTGGCATGAGCATTCCTTGAGACATATGAGAAACCATGAAATCCACTTGAGGCATTTGAAGTTCAATCTCCCTTGGGAAAAATAAAACCCTAGTTGTAGGTCAATGCTTAGGAGGAGGGTTTGTCTGATCAATTTTTGAATAGTCTTGAGCAATTGAAGATCCTGGGAGCACGAGGAGATATCTTGAAGAAAATGGGAGGACAAATTTTGGGGCACAATAGAAACAATTTGTTTTGCTACCTAAACACATATTTATATAAATGAAGTAGATTTAAGAACGAGTTCAGAGTGAGTACTAGTATATAAATTATCCATCTTTTGAAATTAGAGAAAACTCAAACCTAGATTCCAATTAAATCAAAATAGACTTTTCCGTTAAACTTAGAGCAAAATAAAATGAATACTCGCGTGTACGTTTTTTTTTTTGCCACACCTAACAAAAGCCACGTCAAAACAAATGACGTCAAAACAAATGACGAGAGTCTTTGTAAATATTGATGAGAAGAAAGGAAATGCAGTGTCAATCAATGAGACATGCATCACAATAAATTTAATTTTTATTTATAAAATACTGAAATGACATGACAAATGTAAGAATTCCGATTGATTATACGTGTAAAATTGTTTTACACTGACAGTTTAAACTCAATATTGATATATTAATTTGTACTTTTTAATTATAATTCATCATTTATTATCTTGTGTTTTTAAATATCACATAATTTATAATATTGTGAAATTATTTATTAAGTAAGATATTTAACTATTTCTATTATTTAAAATTTATTTTATCTATTATTTATTATTTATCCCATATTAATTAACTAATTAAATAATTTTAAATATAATAAATAAAAAAGAACAAGAAAACATTATCTTTTTTTGTCTTTTTGAAGGAAAGAAAAGTAGGATAGTTTAAGAATTATTTTTAAAAATATGATACATTATCAAGTAAAAATTTAAAGAAAATGATTATTTGAATAAAAACTTAATATCGAAGGATATTTTGATTTGGCAATCCAGTATTTAATTTGTAAATAAAATTTCATTGTCATCTGATTATCTACGACAACTTCATTTTCCATTTTCACCTTCATTGAACTTCGAACCCTAAAACCATAACCAAAGAGATAAACATGTCAGGTGGCCCTATTTCTCAGGATTGGGAACCAGTCGTCATCCGCAAGAAAGCCCCCAACGCCGCCGCCAAGAAGGATGAGAAAGCCGTTAACGCCGCCCGCCGTGCCGGCGCAGATATCGATACGGTTAAGAAATGTTCGTTTTAGTTCCTAATCTAATTCAATAATATACTGATTTTGTTTCGTTTTTTATTTGTTATATGATGCCAGGGTAAAAATGTATAGGTTAATTGATTAATGTTTTTACCTCTCGGATCTTAACGTATTCTATTGTAATTGTTGTTGCTGGCTATGAATACGATGATTTGGTGTTGAGGCAATAGATTTAATTTGCAAAGTGTTCAGTTTTAGGGTTCTTCAAACAATAGCTCAACTTTAACATATTGATTATGGTTGTATGTAATTGTGTTTTCTCTTTTTATTTTAGTTTATTTATATGGTTTCTGATTTTGAATGGTGATTGTTCAAATGTTGTGTTTACAGATAATGCTGCGACAAATAAAGCTGCATCTAGCAGCACTTCATTGAACACTAAGAGGCTGGATGAGGATACAGAGAATCTAGCTCGTGAGTATTGTGCTTATAGATACACTAGATTTTGTTTTTGTTTGTTTTTGTGATAGAACCTCAGTATCGATTTCTGAATGGGCAGTTATATGCAGACTGCAGGGAATGGTGAGGTGAATTAGATGGACTGTGTTGTCCTTCAACTTTAGTATTTTCTAACTGATAATTTGTTCAGAAGAACTGAATAGTAGTTATATACTAGAGTATGTAGGTTGAATTGAAGCATATTCGTTGAACATTTAGTACTTCTATCTTCTGGAGTATTTTAACACAAGTGTTGTGTTGCTAGCCATTTTGAACCGTTTTTAAATGATTGCTTGAAAATTCATTATGTTTTTGTAGTATTATTTTTCTTGTTCTATATCACTAGATTCACCACTCAAATTTAAGTTACAGAAGTCAATGTTGATTTTTAGTCCAAGCGCAACTCAGAAAAAGTTTGTATAGCTTGGTCATGGGAATGCGAACTTGTTCCAATGTCCTCCTTTAGGAATCAATGGACATTATGAATTATGATATGATTCATACTCAATCTCGCAGAACCAATTTTTCTTCTTCTGCGAAGTTGTTATCTACTTCTTATGCAGCTTCTATGTTGAATTATTGTATTAGGGTTTGAAATCAATATGTGGTCCGAGATCCGGATAATGCAGAAAAAAGACCTAAAATATGGCTTGTACACAGAAAATAACAGTGCAGAATTATAGTAGTTATATGTTGTGATGGTTATGTAGCTTTTAGTTAGCATTAGTTAATTGATTGTTGGGCAGTTATAGAGGGGATTTGAATTGTTTATGAACTTTCATTTTTCCTTTTGAACACTGAGAACTGTTTTCTCAAAGGAGAAGCTTGTGCGGAGGTCCATCTACCTGATTTGTGTTGTGAACTGTGTGGAATTCAATAAAGTTTCTAGTGTACGCCCCTTCAAATTATATCATATTAAACTCATCTGTGACTCTGTATGACCTCTTTCTTGCTGTGTGTATACTTGCGTTGAGTGTGTGAGTGATGACAGAAATTAGACACGGTCTCATTCAATCTTATGGATAGTCAAGATTGATTTTACTTAAATATAGTTTTTACTGTCTTTATAAGATCTGGATAGTTAACGTTGTTTCACTTGATACTCTCTATTATTTATATGTATCAGCTTATTATCTTTTACTTATGTTTGATGAGATGTTGAACTGCCCGGGTCTTAGAATCATCTTAGAGTCATTAATTAGATGTCTTGATCAAAATTTTCTCTTGGCTTTCTGAGCATAAAACATTGTTGAACCTGATGTTCCATTGCTTTTTTTGTTCTTTTACTGAATGTCGACGCAGCATGCTTTGGAATTTGGATTCATGTAATATAATAGCATGTCATGCTTAATAGAAGAGGAATTATGGACACCTTTGTATTTCTTATACTAAAATTGTTCTGGTTCATTTTTTCTGCAAATCCGTTGACAATCACGTGACTGGAATTTTGTATGCAGATGATCGTGTACCAACTGAACTGAAGAAGGCTATAATGCAAGCTAGGATGGACAAAAAGCTTACTCAGTCTCAGCTTGCTCAAGTATTATCTCTACCCAACGTCAATCTCTTATGTTCTTTATTAGTTGTTACACATTCATTATCTAAAACAAGCATGGTTACTTTACTTGCAGATCATCAATGAAAAGCCTCAAGTGATCCAAGAGTACGAGTCAGGGAAAGCCATTCCAAATCAGCAGATAATTGGCAAGTTGGAGAGAGCCCTTGGAGCTAAACTGCGTGGCAAGAAATGAGAAACCTATTTCCATGGTTGTTTGCTAGGTTTGCATGTCACTCTTGAGGTGTTGTCATGTTTGTCTTTGCTCGCTGAGTGTGTATATGTAAGACAGATAAATGGTGGTTCTGAGACCCATGGTTTTCACCTGTTCGAATAAGTAAAGTTGCATTTTTCAGCTTGAACCCTTCTTTCCAGTGATTGCAAGATATGATTGCTTCATAGAGAAAGTGAGTGTTGTGTTTATCTTGGTTCATTGGCAAGGTTTGCAGGGAACCCAATTAAATGTAGAACACCAATGAATTTCGAATCTTGAAAGAGTGAACTTTGTAACTTGTTATAACTTTGCAGAGTAGTTGCCCATCTTTAGTCGAGTTTTAACTCTTCATTTGTCAAAATAAAGTGTTTTAATTAACACTCCATAAGTTACTCCCGTCATCACTGTTGGCGTTTGGTGGCTGTTGGAGGAAAAGAAGTGGTGGTGGTGATGACCAAACTCACCCTTTTATTATTTGTTCTTGTTCAGGAGATTTTATCATTAGCCTGAAGAACCAATGAGACAAAACAACACAATAGAGATTCTATTAGCTTTTTAATTCTTATAGCATTTGGTATGCTAGGAACAATATTGAGCTTCTATCAACTCGAGCCATCTTTGAATTCAAACCTGCCTGAGATGAATAAACCCAATATTCAACAAACTACTTCAACAAAGAAAATAATTATATTATTGAGGTTTGAAGAAACCCAAATCAAGTAGGTGTTAGGGATTGCCGAATATTGATTTGATTCCCATTGGCAGGTATTGTTATAGAAACATAAAATGATCAAAACGATATCAATGAGTATTTGTCTTATGACTAGTTGTTCCCACAAAAGTGATTCCTGTAACATTGAGAAGAAGGGAATACAAGAGCTTTAATCAAAACGTTTGTTTATAAAGACTTTTAAAATTAATGGCGACTAAATTGACGAAAGAGTGGTCGTTATGAGAATGAAATTGACCATAAGGTGGGAAATAAATATCATTGATTAATCGCTGAAATCGATGAACAAACAGTACAAATGACAACACAAATTCAATATTATACAACATGATAGTAGAGCATGGTAACATGAATTATTCCCATATAGACATTAAACATAATCAATATTCTTCAGGCACAGGTAGATCCTCCTTATCTGGTGCATCAACCCATTCCCCATCTTCCCTTCTCACCAAGCCTTTATTCTTCTCCACCCACCACGAAGCCGGCACATGACACTCTTCCTTCAAGTAATCACAAGACTTATTCACCAAAGCCACACTCCTCTTCACCTTCAACTCAAACTCACCCTCACTCCCATTCCAACCCGCCACCACATGCAACATAGCCTGCAAATTATGCCAATCACTCGGATTCTTCGAATCACTCAAACTCGTCGATTTCCTCGTATCAATCACCAACTCCACACCTGTATACTCATACCCCAACAACTTCCCTGGATAATGTGGTATAACATCAATAACATTCCTCACGTGTAACACCTTCAAATTCGGAAACTTTTTGAACCTGTCGTTGAATTCTTTGTTCCCAACTTGTGGGGAACCAAATACAAATGCAGCAATGGGAACGTTGGTTACGCCGTTCTCGACCAAATCGAAAGCACTTACAATTGATAAACTTGCTCCTAGACTGTGTCCTACTAATACCACACTTGGATTTTCATTCTTGTAGATGTTCAACAAACTTTTTATCTTGTTTAGAATCTGTGTTCTCACGCTTGTTTTTGTGAAAGGAGAATTTGGGTCGTCTGAGGTGTATATTGTCAGCCAACCCTTCATTATTTTCGGCACTCTTTTGTCATCCTCATTGTCACTGCTGCTGCTACCATCATCTGTCACATAACATTTACAAATAAAAAACATTCTAATTTTGTTACTAGATAGAAACACAAAAGTTCAAGACAGTTAAAATAGAACATGATAAAATATTTACCTCCGAAAATTTAAGACAAATATAAAAGATTGATTACCTTTATTCTTGTTTGGGAGGTTGAGTTGGGTGAGACTTTTAGCACTCAACAAGCCAGATGCAGACTCAGGCGCAGCACCAAACACGTTGATCCATTCAAGGTCCCTCGTCGTACCACGCCACACAATATATATTTCCCGGCGACCCAATTCTCTACTCCGTTCATCAGAAGTAACAGCTATGTAGCCGATCCAGTTAGACTCACGGTCCCAACTCTCACGTGACAGTGAGTGAAGCAAGAAGGCTTCAGGAACAGATACACGTGCAGTAGCGTAAAGGAAAGAAACAATAGTGTAGTGTGTTGGGTTTTCAAGCATGACTTTGTTAAAGAACGAGGATTTTCCGTAACGGCTTGCACCGCAGTAGATGGAGTGTTGGTCGTTGTTGAAAGCATCGTAGGTTGTTTGTATAAAGTCACCGCAACGGAGTATGAGGTTGCGGAGGTTGAGGTCTAAGGGGTTTAGTAGTGTTTCCCAGTTGTTGCTTCCTAGGAGTTGGTTCCATGTGCCTTGGTTTGTTGGAGGTGTTGATGATGTTGGTGTTGTTGTTTCTGTGTCTGTTGCCATGTTTATGGGACTTTTTTTGTGTGATAATCCCATGTTAGAGGAAGTGTGTTTTTGAGGGAGTGGATATATATTGTGAGGAGTTGATGAGGGAAGAGAAGTTTGTGGTGAGATGAGAAAGAATCCAAGAAAGATTAAGATGAGATATTATATCATCAACTATCCATGTGAAATGTGCTATCTTTTCTTTTGTGGATGGAAAAGAAAAGTAATGTGATGGTTGATGATGTTTTCTCTGCCAATTTGAGATTACTGTTTATTTATTTTCACTTTATGTGGACTTTTTTAGTCTTATCATGATTGAGTTTAATTTGATTATGGCTAAAAGCAATTTTTGAAATCAAACAATTCTTAGCAAAAGTTAAAAGGAGTGCGTAGTGAAAATTAAAGACAGTTAAAAAATAGGCAAATTCTTTAATAGTCATAAATTTAAGTTGGATATTGATACGTGTGTATAAATTTTTTATGGAGTAAATAAAATTACATAGAGTGCAATGGGCAAAATATAGGTGAAAACTTGAAGACTAATTTTAAGAGATTCAAAATTATAGTTGTTTGATTCTCAAGAACAAATTGAAGGCAAGAAGAATTTAGACATTAAGAGTCACTTTGTTTCATTTTTGGAAAATGGATTTTTTTTTTTTTTGTATTTTTAAAAATAAATTTTATAAAACAGTTTTTTAAAATATTACTAATTTTTTCATATTTATTTTTTCTAAATTGAAAATTAGTTTGACATTCTATAACATAAACATATATTATTAAATATCAAAATATAATCGAAACCGTTTCACCTCAGTCGAGCATCCCCAAACCAACGGGTAAGTCGAGGCCGCCAACAGAGTTATCCTGCGGGGACTTAAGCGCAGACTAGGCGAAGCAAAAAGGGGGTGGGTCGAGGAACTACATAGCGTCCTATGGATTTACCGCACCACACCCCATTCGACGACGGGCGAGACTCCGTTTTGACTAACATATGGCATCGAGGCCGTCATCCCCATAGGGATCAGGGAACCTTCCAGGCGGACAAAGATGCCTCTTGATGAAGAGATGAACGACGAGGCCCTGAGGGATGAGCTCGACCTGGTTGAGGAAATTCGATCGGGGGAAGCCCTGCGCGAGGCCACTTTGAAACAACGAGTAGCCTTGCGTCACGATGACAAGGTCATCAGACGCGAGTTCCAGGTCGGCAGCCTAGTCTTGCAGAGAAACCAGAAGGATTCCCGCGAAGGGAAATTGGCCGCGAACTAGGAAGGACCTTACCGCGTCCAGGGCGCTACAGGCACCAGAGCATATTATCTCGAGCAGTTAAACGGAGAACCACTACCACGACTCTGGAATGCTGCAAAGCTGAAACAGTACTATAGCTAAAGCCCTCAACCACTGTGGACTTTGGTCGTCGAACATTCACCCTTAGCCAACAAGGAGAAAGTATCGACCATGTAGGCGGGTCAAGATACGAGCCCGACCTACCGACCACCGAGGGCACACCGTCGCTCATCCAATGAGTCGAACGCTAATGCCCGACAGGGACACCTCGATCGAGCTCCACTGTCAAAAGTACCCACATGGCAGAACACCCAACTCGCGATGGGCAGTTCACGGTACGAGCGTCGGACCCCGATCTAGGTCATACGCCCGACATGCGGACTCCACTCCGCACAATCGACACATTTCGAAATGTGTCGAACCATCACGAGGGTCGAAAGGGTATCTTCGCTCGAGCATAAACCTTATCAAATATTCGTTATAAAAATAGCAGTCGAGCATATACCTAGATACTAGAAGGTAATTGCAAACAAAACCATCTTTCGAAAAAGCAATCATAAAACGGATTAATGAGGTACCGACCACGAAGTCGGCGATGTTCAAGATTACAATCCAGGGCACGAAGGCCCAAAGAAATTAAGAAAGACATGGTCACGCAGGCCCTAAAAACTAACACGGGCATGCAGCCCCCCCTCCCCCCCCCCCCCCAAAAAAAAACAACCAATATACGGGCGCGCAGACCCAGACAATAACAAAAATTCAATCATTCCCCGGAGAGTTGACGACCACATCAGGAGAATCGGGAGGAGGCACTACCTGGCCGTCAATAATCTGGGAGAGAACTCCAACCCCTTCGGTGTTCATGTCCGGATTCAGCACGGACAGTTGACTCACCGCAGTCTCGAACCCGTCGGCCAGAGTGCCAACACAATCTGACTTGAGGAGGTGGATGCGAGCAACAAGATTTGAGTGCGTACGTAAAGAGGCTATCTCCTCTGGCTCGTCCTTGGCGGGAAGCATAGCAGCTTTCAGCTCCTCAATCTCCCTCGACAATCGTTGGTTGTCACTCTCCAGTCGTTCCTTGTCGAGTTGGAGGCAATCCATCTCCTCAAGGGCCTTGTCGGTCTTCTCCTTCTCCCCCGAAAGCAAGTCAGCCTGTTCACGGAACATCTCCTCGGACCGTTCGAGGGCTGCTTTTCAACTTGCGAGACTTGGCCGCAAGAGCCGCCTTCTCTGATTCCAGCTCTCTAACCCGATCCATAGAATCTGATCCTTCCCCTGCAAGGACCACATTCATCTCGACCATTTTCACCACTCCGACCATGCTAGCAGCGAGGTGTTTCCTCCGACCTTCCTGGTCGAGCTGCTTAATGATGTCGGCTTCATTATTGGATACGTTCAGCGGAAACCCCTCAAAGAAGTCCCTTTCCACAAAGCAGGGCGGTAAGCTAAAAGCCCGGACAGAAACAGGCTCATCGGTCGCTTCCGCTCCACCCTCTGGCCGGCTCCTCTTCCTGCTGTAACACCCCTTCTAAATACCCAAATTAAAGGTAAAGATTAAAATCAGAGAAATAAAATTGCACGGAAGGGATGCCACAACACACATCACATTCCAAAGTTTTTAAGGAAAAACAGACAGGGTATGTTTGAAAGTATAAGCATTCCAACACAAAACAAACATACTATAAATATTTACTTCATTCTCTCGTGCAAACGCAACGGAGTTTCATAATTTCACATCATCTCCGTTTATGGAGGAATCAAAACATAATTCAAGGCATCAAGCCATCATAATTCACATAAGCATATGTTATCAAGTCTCACATATACAAAACATCATATACACGAATAAGGATTATATACATCATAATCCAAATACAAAATAATCGAGTTTGACACTAATAAATTCCCCCCCCCCCCCATGTGTTACTACCAGAGCATCGACTCGACTCTAATCAAATAAAACAGATTGCAATCCAATGCATCCGTTAGCTAGCGCCTCGCGCTACCGTCCTCGGTACCTGCACAATACCATCAAAAGCATTGGCCAACAAAAGGGTAAGAATTCCAATAATCATATAACATATAATTTTAAGTAAATGAAATGGCAATAATTAAAGCAATACATAATGATCATGTTCATTTTATCACCTGTAGCATCCTTACTCAAGGAGTCCATTTCCAACACATTAACCATGTAAACCGATTATCCGAATACTCACATCCTTGGCACATAACCATAATTCAAACAACAACAGTATTGGCACATAATCAAACACATCAACACATATACATATCATGCACAATTATACATGTGACTCACAACACGACTCAACGTATGCAAATGCGGTATCGACTCGTGAACCCAAAGTTCCACCACCTATGTTTCCCTTCCGGATCAAGGTCACTACGTCTTTTCCCACAATAGGGTCACCGTCTAGATATTGTGGACCCAAAGTTCCACCACATGTATTTCCCTTCCGGATCAAGGTCACTACGTCTTTTTCCCACAATAGGGTCACCGTCTAGATATTGTGGACCCAATGTTCCACCACCTGTATTTCCCTTCCGGATCAAGGTCACTACGTCTTTTCCCACAATAGGGTCACCGTCTAGATATTGTGGACCCAATGTTCCACCACCTGTATTTCCCTTCTGGATCAAGGTCACTACGTCTTTTCCCACAATAGGGTCACCGTCTAGATATTGTGGACCCAATGTTCCACCACCTGTATTTCCCTTCCGGATCAAGGTCACTACGTCTTTTCCCACAATAGGGTCACCGTCTAGATATTGTGGACCCAAAGTTCCACCGTCTCTGTTTCAAGACCACCATGCCATGCAATGTACAATATAACCAATGCATGCAATTAAGACTCACAACAATCTTAATATACACATGCCATCAAATCCAACCAATGGAACATCAACTATTGTACATGCATGCATACATATAATTTATCAATCTCAACGTCAAGTAAAATGTATACAAACGAGATTACTTACTCAACCAAAACATAAACCATCAACTATCAACAATTCCAAATCGGAAAGTATATTTCGACAATATCAATATGATCATCACATCATCATGTACAAGGACATATATCATCATTATCAACAAAAATCATTTAGTCATGAACAATTCATCACAAGCCTCCCATATCATCATGTAGCATCATCATTTTCATACAAACATGCATATTAAACATAAGCATACATGTTGTCATACCCAATCATTCAAACCATATCAAAACATAATGCATTTTGCATTTGATGTATAATTCACAAGATCATTCATTTAGTACACCAAACATCACCAAACACTTCACTAAAATACATAACAATCAAATTCACCTATAAACATAAACACTTTCTCCAATAATCACTTATTAAAATAAGATCTTAAAGCTACCTAATTCCTCATAATCATATAGAAAATTTCACTAGCTTTCTAACGCATCAAACGGCGCCTAAATCGGAGTTACGGTTCAAAAGTTATGGCCGAAACGATTTTTGGGAAATGCCAAGTCAGAGCTTCAACACGGGCACCCGTGTGCTGCAACACGGCCCGTGTTGTGAAGCCTGCGCGAAAATCTCATTCTTTTGAGTTTTTATCATTCCACTACCATGGTTTTCTTTCCCATTTCAATACTCTTAATTTCTACAAGCTAGCACCTAATACACCCACAAACCATACTCCTAATCCAACTTCTCTAAACCATTCTAACAATCAACCAACAAAACCCTATAAAATCAACTATCCA